TATTTGTTGAAACTGTACTTTCGATTTGATTTGAAACTGTCTCATTGCTATATGTTTATCAATAAAACTTTGAAAAGAAAAAAAATAAAAATAAAAAATGTTTACACCACATTTCTTACCCCAACTTCCCTTTTCTGCTTATTTGCAATTTATCTTAAGGCTTTTAAAAAACTATCCCTCCTATCCAGTTAGTAGTTTTGCTAAAGACCAAAGATGAGATGGTAAAGAATGGAACACACTTGAAAAGGTATGGTTCTAACAGTCACAGGACTTCATCTTATATGCCTTATAGGACTGTGAACCAGAAAATTATCTTATATTGGGAGGTCATCTGAGAGCCAGTGGGATAGATCCCATGTCCAAGTCTTTATTCAAGCCAAACAGGCAGGTTATTTGTTTTTCAATTACAATATCCTATAAGGAAAAACTAGTAAGGAATTATTTATAGACTCCAAGAAGTAAAAGGCTACATAAAAGTACAAGAAGATATGGTATTAAAATTTGCAGAGAAGGATAATGAGGTCATAAAGAGGAACTCTGGATCTTGAAGACTTCCTATGTAGGCTTAACCTCAATTAATTGTAGTCCCAATGTTTCCCTACCTGGCAGCAGCTCCTTTTACATTCATATCTCAATCCATGATAATTCCAGCTCACTTGCCAAATAATTAGGAAAATAATGAAGATAGATCCATAGGTATATAAGAAGTATACAATGTCCCACAGAACAAATGTAGGGTTCAACATGGTCTAAGCCTCATCAGCATGAGGCAACCAGCCATCCCTTGATGTAGGCATTCAGAGTTCTAGTGCATGATGACTCCAAGTGCCAGGCCTCGTCACATCCACCTCACAGAGGGCAGAACCAGACCTCCAGACTGCATCACAAAGCCCTTCTGTTTCCTAAGAGAGGCTGATGTGGTGATACAGCACACGAGTATCTTAGTTACTTTCTTGTCACTGGGGCACAGTACCTGATCTCCACCACATGAAGAAGGAGGGTTTATTTTGGCTCACGGTAGGTGGAGGTTTCAGCACATTGGCAGCTGGCTCCAAGGTAGGGTGGCTGGGTAGAGGAGCACCAGCTCATGGCACGGAGGCAGGAAGCAGAGAGGGATCAAGGAAGAGGGGAAGGACTCAGACTCTCCCAGGCCACTCCCCCAGCAACTCGCCTCCTCCAACCAGGCGTCACCTCCTAAATTAGGTTGAACTATAAACTCATCAGTGGACTAATCCACTGAGAAGTATCACATCCTCGTGATCCAGTCATCTCTCCAAAACCCCACCTATTGGCGCATGAGGCCTTAGGGATAGATATAAACCATAACGATGAAGGTCATCTGTAAAAGTTACACAGCCTGGATCTATGTGCCACACTCCAAAGTAGCATCTATTTCCCACTCTTCTCACTCTCCAGTTCCAACATCAGCCTGCTGGCTCAGCTCTCTCCTTCACTTGTCCTCAGAAGACTGAATACTTTGGCACACAGGGCAGTTTGTGAGAAAGAGTGGCTGTGATGGAGGAATTTTGCCAGCTCTCCAACTCTTTTTTGGAAATAAACCTGAACAACATACAGGATTTAGGGAAGGCAGATGTGATTATAGCTTAGGGATGGAGAGCTTGGATGTTTCAGACAACAGGTGATCAAAATTAGAAATGCAGGGCTGGCTAAATAGCTCAGTGGATTAAAGAGCCTGCAAGGAGGCACAGGGGCCAGGGCTTCGATTCCTGGGCCTGCCCTGCTGGTCCTGACCCCAGGGTGCTGAGATGGCAATTAAGACTGGGCATGGTGGTACGCGCCTGTAATCCCAGCACTTGGGAGGCTGTAAACAGGTGGATCACTATGAGTCCAATCTAGTAGTGAGACCCTGAACACACTGTAGACCCTTCCCTAAAAATCAATTTTTAAAAAAAAAATCAGAAGTGCAAGAAGGAAAGACCATAGCTCCGTAGCAAGAAAGGGCCTAGGTGGCTCTGTGTGTGTGTGTGTGTGTGTGTGTGTGTGTGTGTGTGTGTGACCCAGAACCTTTGTACTAAGTTACACCTCCAGCATTTTTTATTTTTATTTTGAGACAGGTCTTGTTCAGTCAATAAATTGCCTATGCAAGGCTTGAACTTGTGATACTTTTGCCTCAGTCTTTGATCAGTGCTGGGATTACATGTGTGAGCCTCCAAGTCTCCCTTATATTTTTAAATGACACTGTGGAAGGAAAGAAGGGAGTCCTCTAGTCTGTGTGCAAGGGGTTTGGAAACACTGCCTTCCAGGGAGGTGCCTTGATGTAGTTCACTTCTGGAGCCCTGTCCAAGGTCTGGAGCTCCTGAGCTGTTCCTGCCCATGTGATAGCCTCCTTCCTGCTCAGGAAGAGGAAATACTGCAAAAATCGGTTAGTAGCCACTTCTGACTGTGGGACTCAGCCTACTTGCTGTTTGTGGTTGTATTTTCTTCTCTCCGGATATATGCCATTTGCTTGTAGGATTTTTGTTTGTTTGACCTGGAATTTGGAAATCTTTTTTTTTTAAAGAGGAAAAAAAGCACAATAAAACAAGAGTTTCAAAGTAGGTTTAATAGGAGAGTTACAAAGGTTAGTATATTATGTATTGTTGTCTTTGTAGGAGTTATTTAGAGTGAAAGATATAGGCATGATATTGTGTCCAAAAAAACACTAGCACAAACCTTTCTTTTCAATAAACTAAGAGAAACTCACTGTGTAACTATCTTGCATATAAATATATATTTTTTCCTTCCTTTCCTTCCCCCCACCACCTGTTTCTTTTCTTTTAAAGTTTCTTGCCAATTCACAATATCTATTACCCATTTTTATCTTATTTTCTCAGCCAGTTTTTCATACTAGTGAGACAATATAATGTTTACACATGTGGGCCTGATTTATTTCACTTTTGAGTATGGTCTCAAGTTCCATCCATTTACCTATAAAAGTCTCCAGTTTATCCTTCCTCATGGCTGAGTAGTACTCCATTATATTAAAAAACACATCTTTTTTATCCATGCCTTGGTTGAGAGGCATTTGAAGTGCTTCCAAAATTTACCTATTACAAATTGTGCTGCTATAAACATGGATATATATATATATAT